GTGGCGGCTCAGTAACTGGGTGGTCCCATTTTATGGAACAAGAAATTGTGGCTAAAAGAGGCTAAGTTCATTATTGAAACAGTATGTTTTTTTTTTTTTTTAATTAAATGTTTTTATTTTGGATTGAGTGAAAGTTTACAGGGCACATCATCAGCTTCACATTCAACCATTCATATAGTTTGTTTCATTACATTGATTACGTGTCCCTTTAAAAAAAGACAGGTGATGCACCAAAACTCATTTTAGCTTTATGTGCTTTGACTCAGTTATGCCAATCTTGCCTATTTATATTGTGGAGTAATTAAAAGAAGAAGAGAGCTATATAGACAAAGATATTCACTGCAGCATAATCTTAAACAGTAAAAAAATATAGAGTCTAAGTGTGAAATCACAAGAGAATGCTGCTGCTACTGGGGCTGTGTTCCGTTGAGTCTGACTCTTGGCAAGTCTAGAAAGGTTTCTGAGTCTGGACATCTTCACAGGAGCAGAAGGTCTCATCTTTCTCCCTCGGAATAGCTGGTAGATTTGAACTGCTGATCTTGGGGTTAGCAGCCCAATGTGCAATCCACTACACTACCAGGGCCCCTTAACAAAAGAATAGTTAAGTAATTTACAGAGCATCAGCTTGATGGGATATCATGTGGATAATGAAAATATAATTATGAAGAATTTTGAAATATGTGAAAATGTTATGTATTAAAATTAAAATGAGTCTGAAAATGAATATGTTTTTGTTGTTCATTGCTGTGGAGTTGATTCTAACTCATAGTGACCCTGTAAAGGGTTTCTGAGGCTTGAATATAGTAGATGGTAATACCCACTGTGACGGTTAAGATTGTATGTCAACATGGCTGGAGCACGATGTTCAGGGTTTGCCTGTTACAACGCAGTCACCCCCATGATGATATCTGACATGAGCTTTGCAATGAGCAGCCAGTCTGTTGAAAGGGAGTGTCCTCAGGGGTGTGGTCTGCTTCTAATATATATGAACCTTATGGCAAAGCATCATCTGACCTCTGGATGTTGAAGTTGAGCCAGTAGCCTGCTGTATTGCCTGCTGTTCCTTACTGTGATTCATTAACATCTGCGGCATGTTGAGTCAGCAGTCTGCCATGTTACCTGCAGACCTTTGATTAATTATTTGTCTCTGCAGTCAGCAGCCTGTTGTCTGACTTGATCTTGGGTGTGCCAGCCCCTTAGCTTTGTGAGTCTGGAGAAACCTTTAGCTTGATATCTGATTCATGGACTTGGAACTTGCCAACTGCATGAACTATCTCCTTGACACACCTCTCTCTCTGTGTACATATATGAGGAGAAGTTTGCGAAAAAATACCATTATCTTTTAATTCCATTTTCCGAGGAACTTTCTGAAGCCCTATCACATAATTGTCACTGGTTTTGCTTCTCTACTGAACCCATCGTAAGACAACCACTTAAAATATATACTTTGAATAAGGACCAAAAGGGAATTACTCAAATTGAAAATAGCTGTGTTAAGAATGTGGGATTATTAAAGTTTTTTTTCTTTTTTAAATATTTGCTTTAATGCTATTATATTGTTTTTACAATGAAAAAATAAGTAAACAAGAATAGATAGCTGTGATAGTGGGAAAGAATGCCGAGTTAATTACATAGGTCCTCCGCTGGACAGCAACCTAAATTAAATCATTTGACTTAAGTCACTGTATTGATCAATACAAAGCAGTTGAGGGTATCAAACAAAATTGAGAAATCCATTTTTAGAACTGGTTTAATGAGTTTATCAGCAATGTCTAAGACTCCTGGTTGATATTCATTGGAGATCTATGTAATCTCTTCTCCAATGTCAGGTCCCACCTCTTTTCCAAATTTCACTATAGTTGTACACATCAGTAATTTTATAGTTCTGACTTTTGGTGTTGTTCTTGGTTTCGGTGTGTCTTTTTCAAAGAAGCCACGTTTATGTATCCAATTTCTGAACTCTGTGAACACGAAAGAGACTCAAGGGACTTTGGGTTTGCCATTGCATCTTCTGACTTATGATCTTCAATCTCTTGAACACTTCCAGTAGACTCTAGCAAACCTGTTCCTGAAAAACTAAGAAATACCATGTGTAAAGATATTGTATAGATTGAATTTCTCTGTTACCAGTTTGGAGTTTATGGGGAAGGCATTGATAGGCTTTCAGTTTTTTATAACTGTTAAATTCAAAGAAAATCAATAAAACTAAATTTAAACCTATGTTGCTATGTTGATTACCTCCTATCTTAAAGTCAAGATTCTGTGAGGTGTGGAGGTGAAGGAATGGGAAGGGGAGAAGAAATTGGAAGAAGATTCAAATACTAAATGTAGATATAATTACCCCCAAATGCTATGCTTTCTCAAACCAGCATCTCAGAACAAGTTAGGCAGACATGACTCCCAGGCATGGAGATGATGCTCTTGACTTTACTAACCTGGAATTTGGTAAAGGCAGTATCTTATTCAATACTTCAAATTCAGGGATGTCACTAACTGTTGTTTCCTAAAAGGAAGGAAAGGAGAATAATAAATATCACAATGACAAAGCACTGGCAATATGATCTTTTGAGCACTGGTGACAGTGCTTATTACTCCCCCCCACCCCCCTGTCTCAAACACACATCTATGGGATCCTGGTGCGGTGCTGTAGGATAAACATTGGACTACCACAAGGTCAGCAGTTCAAATCCACCAAAGGAGCAACTGGTGATCTTGAACCACTGACCTTGTGGTTCAAGCTGATCTTGCAATCCAGCACAATATAATAGTGCCACACCAGGACTCCATATATATATATATATATATATAGTTGTTAAAGATATAATACCCACTCCCTGTAGAAAAATTTGATAATTATAAATGACATACTTTTTACAGCTGGTGATTACATCTGTTTTTGTATATGAATTAGCACATATTATTTGATTATCTAGTCTATAGAAGGAGCTCTGATAGCATAGTGGTTTAGAGTCAGGCTGCTAACCTCAAGGTTTGTAGTTTGAAACTACCAGCTGTTCTGCAGAAAGATGAGGCTTTCTGCTCCTGTAAAGATTTTCAGCCTTGGAAACCCTGTACAAGGTCGCCATGAGTTGGTCCAACTCCACAGCACACCACCACTACCACCACATTTGATATAGTCACTGCATTTACTTAAGGACAGCTCTACTCTGTCCTATATAGGGTTGCTGTGAGTTAGTGGGTTTGAATTCTTTGGTTTAATTTACCTAGTTTTTAACTTACTATTATGATAAACATTTTCTCTCCATCAAATGATGGAGAGCACTTGTTTTGAACCTTATGACTTAAAAACCAAATATTTTTTCCAGAAAAACATAGGCCCACACAGACCAAATTTGCCCTGGTGTGGCACTGTTGGATAAGCACTGGACTGCTAACAAAAAGGTCAGTGATTCAAACCTATCAAGCCACTTCTTGGAAGCCCTATACAGGAGTCACTGACTGGACATGGCACTTAACAACAACAAGTTCTGCTAGGAATCCTGGGTGATGCAAACAGTTAACATACCTGACTGTTAACCAAAAGATGGGAGGGCAGATCTACCCAGAGGTATGTATATTGGAAGAAAAGCTTGGTGTTCTACTTCTGAAAATCAGTCAGTGACATTCCTATGGAGTAAGGCACATGGGAATCACCATAAATTGGAGTGACTCAAGGCAAGTATTTTAACATACAGAAGGAGCTCCACAGATGTTTAATATAAGAAGTAAATCTGAGAGGAAAGAACTATCATGTATTGAATGCCAACAATTAGTTAAGAAATGTGTTGTTGTTATTAAGTGACATGGAGTTGGTTCCAACTCATAATGACCCTATTTGTTGTTGTTGTTAGGTCCCATCAAGTTGGTACCGACCCATAGCGACTTTATGCACAGCAGAATGAAACACTGCCTGATCCTGGGCCAACCTCACTACTGTTGCCACGGTTGAGTCCATCGATGCTGCCACTTGGCCAATCCATCTCGTTGGATTTACAACAGAACAAAATACTGCCTTGTCCTGCATCCTCCTCATGTCATTGCTGTGTTTGAGCCCATTGTTACAGCCACTGTGTTAATCCATCCATTTGAGGGTGTTCTTCTTTTCCCCTCATCCTCTGCTTTACCACACATGAGGTCCTTCTCCAGGGACTGGCTCCTCCTGATAACATGTCCAAGTACATGAGATGAAATCTCCCCATCCTTACTTCTAAAAGGCATTCTGACTGTACTTCTTTCAAGGCAGATTTGTTCATTTTTCTGGCAGTCATGATAAATTCAACATTCTTCACCAATGCCATAATTTAAAGGTATCAATTCTTCCTTAGTCTCTCTTATTCATTTCCAGTGTTCGCATGCATATGAGACAAATGAAAATACCATGGCTCAAAGTGACATTTTTGCTTTGTAACACTGAAAAGAGGTATTTTGCACCAGGTTTTCCCAATGAAATACATAATTTATTTTCTGACTACTGCTTCCATGGGCATTAATTGTAGATCCAAATAGACTAAGATACTTGACAACTTCAGTATTTTCAAAATTCATCATGATGTTGCTTTTTGATTCAGCTGTGAGGAATTTTGATTTCTTAATGTTGAAGTATTATCTGTACTGAAGGCAGTGTTGTCTATACTGAAGTCTTTGATCTTCATCAGTAAGTGCTTCAAAGCCACCTTTACTTTCAGCAAGCAAGGTATGTCATCGACAGGTTGTTAATGAGTCTTCTTCTAGCCTGAATGCTGTGTTCTTCTTTATACAGTTTAGCTTCTCAGATTATTTGTGCAGCACACAGATGGAAGTATGGTAAAAGGGTACAACTCTGATGCATACTTTTCTTGATTTTGATCCATAAAATAAATCTGAGAGGAAAGAACTATCATTCTGTTCAAAACACTGACTCTTGGTCTATACATAGATGCAGCACAAGAACAAGTAAGTGTTTTGGAATTTCCATTTTTCACAATATTAACCATAATTTATTATGAGTCACCCAGTTCAATACCTATGTAGAGTCAATAAAAACAGTTACACATCTTTCTGGTATTCTCTGCTTCATCCAAGATCCATCTGACATCAGCAATGATATCCCTGGTTCCAAGTCCTTTTCTGAAAAAACTAGCTAATTTATTTGCATTACAGTATTATATTTTATCCTTGACAAACATCATCTAAATATATTTACAATAGCTTTATGGAGATATAACTCACTATATAATTAACCCATTTAAAGTGTACAGTATAGTGGCTTTTCATATACTCACAGACTTGTACAACCATCACTTTAAACCATTGAAAAATATTTTTGAAAAGCAACTCCATGCTCTGTAGATATCACCCCTGGTCTCACCACCATTCTCAAAGCATTTTCCTAGCATATGTTCCATTTGGACATTTACCTCAGCACATACAATACTACAGTACTTATTTGTGTGAGTGTTTGTCCTTCTCTAGTAAACTGAAGGTCTCTAAAAACAGTAACTATCTTCATATTCCTGGAATTTAGCCTAGTTCCTAGAATTGGTAAATGTTTGCTAGATGAATGATTATGTAGAAGAATGAATGTCTAGACAGCTGAAAACAGTTGTGGCTCAAGCAAGGACATAAACTACTGGAAATTAGGCCACATAATCTGGAGGTTCTACTTTTGACAAAATAACTCTCATAGCTTGGAAATAATCACCTTTCTGGGAGTCAACAAGATTCTAGTTTTACACTCATGGCAATAGTGCCCAGAAAGCAGGACCTAATTAGAAATAGGAGAAATACTGAGAAACAGAGGATGAAATCTCCTGCAGATGACATAACTGGGGGAAAGGACAAGTAGCCTGCACCCTAGATTCAGAATGCAGCTCTAGTCACTGAAGTCACTCTTGCTGACTTGCTTACCAGCCAGACTCTTGACCTTGTCACAACATATAGTATGTATCTGCTGTATTTCTCTGGACTTGGCTGCTTCTGCTTGAATTTTTAAAACCATGATTGCTTTCTTTTGATTGACATGCTTTCTTCTGGCTTGACTGTTTGTCAGACCAGATTAGCTTCACTTTCTCATTCTGAGCCTCAGATCCACTCATCCTTCAGAGGGTGATGTAGTGATAAACCAAAAACCAAACCCGCTGCCATCGAGTAGATTTCAACTCATAGCGATCCTATATAGAGTTTTTGAGGCGGGAAATCTTTAAGGGAGCAGAAAGCTTCATCTTTCT